TTAAGACATTCTCTTCTTTTCTTAGACACCGAACTAATCTCAAAGGGAACGTCTGGCATTTTCATCAATTTATTTTATTTATTAACATTATTACTTTTATGATACTCGCCCGATTTAGAAAGAAGTTGCTTATTTGACTATATATAAGAAATTTACTCAAGAATTTAGATAAATGGTAATTTAGTTGTGTATTCTGGCACAATACAACAGGCCGACAGGGTACTTCACGTTTTAAAAAGATAAGAGACAAATACACACAATTAATAAATTAATTTAAATGTAGAATTATAAGCGATTCTACAATTAGATCCATGACAGAAAGATCTTACAAATACAAACTTGATTAGTCAATGAAATAAAGCAATTAAACTCTTTTCACATGTTGATGTCGGTAACTTCTTACGAGAAAGTTAGTCCTTACCAACACACGAAAGTAAAAAGGGCCCAATTGCTTTATTTTAACAGCTTGAGTAATGTATTTATAACGTCTTTCAGGTCGAGGGCCTGAATACGACTAAAACTTAGTCAAAATGTGAAATAGGATTAAATGACTCAAAGAGAACTGAATCTTAGTGAAAATGTAAGATAATACCATGAAATTCACATTTGATCAGGTTGCAATAAAAGTGAGAATGAAATGCCATGACTATTAATAAAAAGGGGGAAACCTATGTAAAATTAAAACTCATAATAAATCTCAAAATATGATGAGGATTAATATATCTTATTAACATCATGACGTATGCCATCATGTTAAGGAACACATAATGTTTGAATCATACGTAGTATAAGGGTAACTTCATCAATGTAAAAAGAGAATAAAACGAGAATACGAACATAGGAACCCTAAAATGTTACTTTAGCAATGTAAGTATCATTTTGGCTATTCTTTAATCTTCTGGTGTAATTCTTTTATATTATACTCTGTCAAATTATATGATATTTCGCGGTCCATTATAATTTTTTCACCTTTCATAGAATGTCTCAAAAATATTTTATCACTTTGCATTTTAATCAATTAATTTGTTTCTATTATTTGTAAAAAAATGATATCATGAGACGAGTGTTGACTGATACTAATAAAATTTGACGGGCATTGACTTGTATGCGCAGATGGACATGAGAGGAGACGCATCGGGGTTCCTTTCCTCCCACCCCAACTCCCCACTCATCTCCCTCCACCACTTCGACATGGTGGAGCCCCTCTTCCCCTTGATGGACCGCTTCCAGTCGGCGGCGCACCTCATGACCGCCGCCAGTTTCGACCAGACCCGGATTCTGCAGCAGACCATCTGCCACCACCGCCCCACCAACTGGACCTTCTCCGTCTCCTGGGGCTACTCCGCCCACATCTACGAGCGAATCATGCCGCGCAGCCACCTCCAGAACCCCATCGCCACCTTCAAGGAGTGGGCCTTCGCCAACCCCCGGCCGCCGCATTGGATGTTCGACGTCCGGGCGCCGGTCAACCACCCCTGTGAAACGCCGCACGTCTTCTTCTTGGAGTCCTCGAAGAGGACGCCCGACGACGAGGAGATTGTCAGCACCTACAAGCGGCAGTGGCGGCGGAAATTGCCCGCTTGTTTGTTTACTGGGAATCACTCTGCTGATTACGTTTTCAGGGTCCGTGTATATACCCCCTCCGCCAAACGGACGCAGGTTTGTTACTTTCCTTCCCTCTTCCTGTATATGGTTCCGGGAGTATTATAAAAGAAAACTATTTTAGATCTTTTGGATGTTTTTACTTGGGCTGTTTTCATATCAGATCGATTATACCAGTTCAAACCAAATCAGACCCACCAAATCAGACCTCAGTAATTATAAAATACACAGAGACCATACATTTATCAGACCAAATAAAACCAGTTCAGACCAGAACAACAAATTTTAGACCAAGAAAAAACATCCTTAGAGAACAGAAGCAAATATGAGTGTGTTAGGATAAAAGTGTACAAGTGCTTTTGAGTGCTCAAAATCGCTCCTAGAAGTAGTTTATAAAAGCTAGATGAGATCAACTTCTAAAAATATGATTATGGTTCTATTTCTGCTTTAAAAACAACAAGAATTAGAATCAATTCCAAACACCTCATACTCACTCGGTAAAATTATTACTACCTATGTCTGATTCAAAGGTTCTCATGCGGTTTATGATGTTTTTAACGTAAAATCTTCTTAATCTTTTACTTCATACGAGTTGTATTTAACTTTTATCAAATTTGAGTTTTTTTTGTGCGGTTTTATAAATCTTTTAAAGTAGTTTCTGAATAAGTAAAGTTTATTTACTAGAAAAAACATGGACGTGAATCAATTAGTTTTATGATCAATCGAACATCATAAATCGCGGGAGAACTTTTGGAGTAATTTTGATATGCTCAAATTGCTCGAAAGAATTCGGTTGCCTCTTTTTAAAATTAATGCATCTTTTCTAATATAATCATGTGTTACTTATTATTTTGCAGACGGATAATAGATGTGAATGTTGTGATGTCACCCGAGTGACTGAAAGCAGCATTGCAGAAGTAAAGATTAGAAATTGCATGAAGAATGAGGTCATTGCTTAGATAGTTAATGTGGAGAAACATTTTTTTTGTTTCTCCCTTTTTTGACGGAATAAAAAACGTTGTATTTTCTTGGTGTTGATATATGAATTTATACGTTAGCCACAGGAACATGCATCAATCCTTTTGCATCTCTGTTTCCTCAGATCTTGAAGTCTTCATTGTATGGTACATAGTCAAGAGAGTAGATACAGATGGTGAATGTACACTGATCTTAGAAACTATTTGAGATTACATTGTGATTTACTTTTCGAATATTTTATTGAACCGAGTTGTCGAGCGCTTGGGATGAACGATTTCACCTTTTCAATTGAGTAATTTAGGCGGTTTTTTTGGACTATTTTCAACTTCAGATCAGACCATACTAGACTTATACCGAATAAATCAGACCATACTTTCATAGTTACTACGTATAAAATACACACAGATCAAAAATCAATTCAGACCAAATCAGGTTTAAACAGACCAAATCAATAAAATTCAGTCCAGGTAAAAACATCATTATAAATTATACGTAGTAATACATGGTGCAATGTGGTAAGCTAGGAGCCTAGAATGGATTAGACAAACTAGTTTAAGACCTGATCATATATATATTTTGAGAGAAATATCATGCTTTGCTCTTTCATCATTCTATAGTCAGAGTAAGGGCATCTGGGGTGGGGCAATACCGCCATTTGGGTTGAGTGGATGTACACCTGATGTTAGCTAGGATGGGTAAGACCGTAAGACATACTGGTTTAGGCACAATCCAAAACCGACAAGTATTAAAGTGACCAAAATGGCCCAAACACCGATGACGATATAGAGGCTCTGCCCTTGCTTAAAATATAAGCTAGCTAATTAGGCCTAAAAAATGAAAATTATCAATATAAAGCTGAATGATTAACTATCCATCATCATCATTACCTCAGTGTCGCAAAGATTCCAATCTACAGTGGGATAAGGAGGATCGGATGTAGGGTTGGACTCGGGCCGGGCGGCCCGAACCGGAACCGGCCCGTTCACTGTTTGAACCGGCCCGGCGGCCCGGCCCATGGGCGGTTCGGGTCGACCCGGCCCGGTGGCTACCGATTCCGGGCTCGGGATTTCATTTTGGTGAACCGGCCCGGCCGGTTCGGGCCCGGTCCGGGCCGGATTTAATTTTTTTTTGGATTTTTTGAATTTTTTTAAGTTTTTGGGTTGGATTGGGTATTTTGGACCATTTGAGGTGGTTTGGGGTTGAGGGGGAGGGTAGGGGGTTGATTAGGAAAACCCAAAAAAAAAATTATATAGAACCTGTAGATTTAGATAGATATTCTGTCAAATAATGTGTAATTATCTTTGATTTTGTTTCCTTATTCTCAGGGATCTAGTTTCCTTATTCTCTCAGATCTAGATTCCATATTCTGTGAGATTTAGTTTCCTTAGACTAGAGTTTCCTTCTGAAGAGGATTCTCCCTGTATATATATAGGGTCTTTGTACATCTATTATAATTCAGTAGAGTGAAGATTCATATTATATAAAACTACATGGTATCAGAGACTTAGGGTTTGATTCCTGTTAATTGCCCTACTGCGTTCTGAGTTTTTTTTCACTCTTCTCTTCGGATCTATTTTTTTTAACTATTCCTTTGGTTAATCATGTCCAAAGATTCTGGCATGTCGAGTCCATCATCTGACTCACAAACCCTATCACCAATTCCTTCCAGTCTGGATGTTAACTCGTTCCAGGCTTTACAAATTATGGTGGTCCGGCTTAATGGTCAGAACTATTCAGAATGGGCTCAATCGGTCAAGCTTGCCTTGGACGGATGAGGCAAGTTTGGTTTTTTAACTGGAGAAGAACCAGAACCTACACCAACTGACCCTTCTTTCCGGCGATGGCGATCTGCCAACTCCCTGATTGCTGGTTGGCTGCTCAATTCCATGGACGAACGGATCCGTCGGTCGTTCATGTATATGGATCCTAAGGATATATGGGATGTTGTTCGTGAGGCATACTCTAATCGTGGCGATTCATCTCAAATATTTGAGTTGAAGAAAAAACTTTGGCTCTCTAAACAAGGTGACAGAGACATCACTACTTATTTCAATGAGATGCTCTCTCTGTGGCAGGAGTTGGATTTATGCTATAATGATGACGTTTGGGAAAATCCAAAAGATCTTGTACGTGCAAAACGCAGAGAGGAAGATGATCGTGTCTTCATATTTCTTGTTGGCGCCAATCACAGTTTTGACGAAACTAAAGGAAGAGTTCTTGGCCGTAAGCCCCTACCAACGGTCAGGACTGTTTTTTCTGAACTTCGCCAGGAAGAGGCACGAAAAAGGGTGATGTATGACCATGCTCCCTCAATTCCAGAGAGCGACAACATGGCTTTGGTTTCAAAGCGTTTTAATGGTGCAGGTGACAAGAAAACGCCATTCTCTTGTGATTTCTGTGGGAAGTTGTGGCACACAAAGGATAAATGCTACAAGCTTCATGGGAAACCATTGTCTACAAAAAATAAGGGGGACGGGAGAGCTACTGCTGCCATGGCTGAAACTTCTGAAGAAAAAACAGCTTCTCCAGAACCACCACCTTTCACTCAGGAACAACTACAGCACCTGTATAAGCTTTTTAACTCTCCACAATTCACACTTAATTCATCTTCTTCCCCTGCTCCAGCCCAGAAAGGTATTCCTTCCGCTTTTGTTTGCTCCACTCCCTCGAGTTCTTGGATCATTGATTCTGGGGCTACGAATCATATGACACATTGTTCGCAATTATTTTCTTCCTATGAACCTGTAGCAGGGAATAACAAAGTGAAAATTGCTAATGGCTCTCTTGCTGCAATTGCTGGCAGAGGGACAATTCATATTTCTCCACCTATCACTCTTTCTAAAGTTTTTCATGTCCCTAAATTGTCATGTAACTTGCTATCCATTAGCAAAATAACCCGTGAGCTAAATTGTCTAGCTATTTTCTCACCCTCTATGTGCTATTTCCAGGACCTGAACTCGGGGAGGATGATTGGCAGTGCTAGGGAGTGCGACGGGCTGTATTATCTTGAAGATGGACTGCCTTCAAGTATGGTTGCCCAAGAATCTCCTCATAAATTAGAGTCTGTGTCTACTGATCAAGATATTATGTTATGGCATTTTCGTATGGGTCATCCTAGTTTTTTTTTTTATTTGAAACGATTGTTACCTAAGTTATTCATCAATAAAGATCCATCTTTCTTTAAATGTGAAGCGTGTGCTTTAGCTAAACATCACAAGTCTTCTTATCCTTCTCGTATTTATATTCCCTCTAAACCCTTTCAATTAATTCATAGTGATATTTGGGGTCCATCTAGGATCCCTACTTCTTCTGGTAAAAGGTGGTTTGTCACTTTTATTGACGATCATACGCGTCTTACTTGGTTATTTCTGATGAAAGACAAACATGAAGTAGTCGATATTTTCAGAACATTCTACAACATGGTCCAAGTTCAATTTAATGAGAAGATTAAAATATTTCGTAGTGACAATGGTCGGGAGTATTTTTCTAATACCCTGACTCAGTTTTTCAATGAAAAGGGAATGATCCAACAAAGCTCATGTGTTGATACGCCACAACAAAATGGTGTGGCGGAAAGAAAAAATAGACACCTACTTGAAATCACATGAGCATTATTACTAGCTAATCATGTTCCTAAATATTTTTGGGAAGATGCCCTTTTAACTGCTGTTTACTTGATTAATCGCATGCCCTCTAAACCTTTATCTTTTCAAACTCCTATCCAAAAATTTCATGAGTTTAATTATGATCTTAAACCGTTTGTAAATTTACCCTTCAAAATATTCGGCTGCACTGTGTTTGTGTCTAATCGGGATAAAACTAAGTCTAAACTTGATCCGCGTGCAATAAAATGCATTTTTCTTGGATATTCAGCCTCTCAAAAAGGCTATAAATGTTATGACCCGGTCTCAAAAAAATATTTTGTCTCCATGGATTGCAATTTCTTTGAGAGATCACCGTTCTTTTCCCCTCAACTTCAGCTTCAGGGGGAGCCTTTATCTAGGGGGAGTCAAGAAGCTTCAGTGAGTGTAGGTGATTTAGATTTTTTGAATCTTAACTTAGATAATGATATTTCAAATGAAATCACCCCTCATGAATCTGCCATAACTAAAAGTCCTGATGATTTACAACATACTTCAATATATGACAAGAGATTTGGAAAAACATACTCTAGAAAACGTCCACCGAAGGGTGTACAGCCAAACATTCCCATGCACGACCAAAATGAATCCCCACAGACAGGTAAAGTTTCTCCTGATCCAATTCCATTAACTCTTGATTCTAATCTCAATCCTTCTGAAGTTGATATGCCTGTTGCCCTTAGAAAAGGAGTGAAAAAATGCACTATTAAATATCCTATGTCTAATTATGTGTCTCTTCAGAATCTGTCTTCTTCTTTTTCTTGTTTCACCTCTCATCTTAATCGTGTGGAGTTCCCAAAATCTATACAAGTAGCTTTACAGATTCCTGAGTGGAAGGCAGCAGTTCTGGAGGAAATGAATGCTCTTAAGAAGAATCAGACATGGGTTAAAGTTGCTCTTCCAGATGGGAAAAAATTAGTGGGATGTAAATGGTTTTTCACAGTCAAATACAACTCTGATGGAACACTTGAGAGGTATAAAGCGAGACTGGTAGCAAAGGGGTTTACTCAAACTTATGGTATTGACTACACAGAAACCTTTGCCCCAGTGGCAAAGCTCAATACGGTTAGAGTCCTACTATCAGTTGCTGTGAACTTAGATTGGCCATTACATCAATTAGATGTAAAAAATGCATTCCTGAATGGGAAGCTTGCAGAGGAGGTTTATATGGATGTTCCTCCTGGTTTTGAAAATGAGTTTGGATCTCAAGTGTGTCTCTTAAAGAAGGCCCTCTATGGCTTAAAGCAATCACCTCGAGCTTGGTTCGAAAGATTTACAAGCTCTGTTAAACAGCATGGATATTCCCAAGGACAAAGTGATCACACCTTATTCTTTAAACGCAAAGGAAATGGGAAAATTACTGTTTTACTAGTATATGTTGACGATATCATTGTCACAGGTGATGATTTTGAAGAAATTAATGATTTGAAGGGAAGTCTAGCACGGGCATTTGAGATTAAAGACTTGGGGCCACTAAAGTATTTCTTGGGAATGGAAGTGGCGAGATCGAAGAAGGGAATTGTTGTAAGTCAACAAAAATATATTCTGGACTTACTCTCTGATACACACATGACTGGTTGTAAACCAGTTGATACGCTGATAGATCCAAATGAGAAACTTTGTGATATTGGAGGTGATGAAGTTGATGTGGGGAGGTATCAAAGATTGGTTGGGAAGCTGATATATTTATCACACACAAGACTTGATATTGCTTTTGGTGTTAGCCTCATCTCCCAGTTTATGCATTCTCCTAAGCAAGCTCATTTGGATGCAGCATACCGTATTCTCAGATATCTTAAGGGATCTCCAGGAAAGGGATTATTTTTTTAGAAGAGTGCTCAAAGAACTGTTGAAATTTTTACTGATGCAGATTGGGCAGGCTCGACCACAGACAGGAGATCAACAAGTGGATATTGCACATTTGTATGGGGAAATTTAGTGACTTGGCGCAGCAAGAAGCAAACTGTGGTGGCTCGCAGGAGTGCTGAAGCAGAATTTCGTGCTATGGCTAACGGATTTGTGAAGGAATTTGGCTCAAGCGAGTACTAAAGGAACTCCATCTACCTCTAGAATGTCCTATAAAATTGTATTGCGACAACAAGGCTGCCATCAACATTGCAAACAATCCTGTACAACATGATAGGACTAAACACGTGAAAGTTGATAGACACTTCATCAAAGAGAAGATAGAAAATGGTAGTTTATGCATACCATATGTTCCAACTTCACAACAAGTGGCAGACATCCTCACCAAAGGACTATTCAAGCCTAGCTTTGATGGAATTGTGAGCAAGTTGGGTTTAGTTGACATATATACTCCCAACTTGAGGGGGAGTGTAGATTTAGATAGATATTCTGTCAAATAATGTGTAATTAACTTTGATTTTGTTTCCTTATTCTCAGGGATCTAGTTTCCTTATTCTCTCAGATCTAGATTCCATATTCTGTGAGATTTAATTTCCTTAGAACAGAGTTTCCTTCTGAAGAGGATTCTCCCTGTATATATATATGGTCTTTGTACATCTATTATAATTCAGTAGAGTGAAGATTCATATTATATAAAACTATAGAACCGAACCGGGCCTGGCCCGGCCCGGCCCGAACCGGACCCGGGGTTACCCGGGCCGGTTCCGGGCCTCCCCTACCTTGAACCGAGGCCCGGCCGGTTCAAGACCCGAACCGGGCCCGGCCCGGAACCAGCCCACCCCTAATCGGATGTACTAAAGCACAGAGAAACTGTTTTCGAATGACCCTAGTGACTGCTACGGAGTACTTCATAACAAAAATCTAAATTAAAATGCACCTTGATTATATTAACTTTTGTTAATATGATTTCTATTTTTTATTGTATTAGTCAAATAAAATTTAATGATTTTTACAAATAATTAAAATAAAACAAAAATATTATTTATGAGTTTATGACTTTTAGCCTTTTAGGTTTAGATTGATAATTTTCAAACACTACATAAAGAATTTTTATCTTCCTGTCAAAAAACAATGTTATCTTTTGATTTCTCGGCAATTAACCTATCTTTCAAGTCCTTAAATTGATAAAATTCTATTTTTCTAATAAGGGGATGGGAAAAAAGGGTGATGGTACACCTGTATATTTAAGAGAGCAAGAAAGTGTAGATAGGTTTTCAACCAAAAGTACTTGTCAGAAAAAAATGTTAATTCAATTCAGCACACTCAAATAAAATAGAAAGATGTAGCTTTCATTTTGGGACGTAGAGACTAGAGAATAATTACTGCTCTGCATAGTGCCAGAGTCAATTTGATCGACACACTCAATATCCTGTTATATTGAACAATTTGTACGTAGTAATTCTAGAGAAAATGGACCAATGAAACAAGTGTTTGAAGTAAATGCATTCACAAGAGACATAACTTGAAGTCTCTCTACATTCTTTATATTTGAAGTCTTTTCTAGCGGAATTCAAATATATGCCAACAACACGGCTAGCATCACAAATAAGGCTCAAAATGTAGCTGTAAAAGAACATCCCAATCGACCAGAAAAAAACGGAAAGCCAAACAACATTCCATTGGTGGCAATACGTAATGTCAACTAATCAAATGGGGCAGTCAGCTGAAGAACTTAATCATTGTGCACCTTATTCGTCTCAGCTTCTTCTGCCTTTTGAATTCCGACAAAACGTGCATAATCAACCCACCTGTAAATAGACGCTTGTATTAGCATCAATGTGTATGGACTTATGTACGCAGGCATGTATGTGTGTGTATAGAATTAATTGTTGCAGAACACCTCACACCTGGTTGCCCCGCTTCATAATCCTCAGACTAATATTATTTCAAAACGGGTATATAAAATAAGTATCATAATCACAAATGCACACATAGAAATAGAATAACTATCAATGTTACCAAAATTAGTAGATTAATAGTAAAGTTTATTTTATCGTATGACCCATAGCTAGTTCTTTTAACGACCAAATGCAGCTAATTTTTTTATATAGTTGTTACAATATGACCCTCCCTTTGTTTAAGGTCGGGTTAATAGTTACGGAACTCATCAAGTATCTTAAAACACTAAAACAGGAAAAAAGTATTGATATGCCTGAACAACTCTTTATATCTTAAAAATCATACTTCTACGCAATGTTAGGAATGTCTTTAATTGAGAGCATTTAATCAGTGTTAAATGCTCTCTTGATTTCATTAGTGCTGCATATTTAAAAAAACATATAACTTCATCTGAATTGTGAAACGGAGGGGGGGGGGGGGGGGGGATAAGCAAGTGAGAGATCTTACAATAATGAACCCAAGTATGTGTTGCCTGTCCGGACAGCAAAGCAAAGGGCACTTAGGACTAATTTATGTTGGTGTAGCAGAGGCTCTAAAATACGCTGTTCAACTACACCGGCTAGCACTTGGTACCTGTTGATTACTTGATGGTGAGTTTTTGTTTAGGATTTCAAAGCCAGAAAAGAATTAAGTGTGCAGGCCAGAATACAGATACAAAATGGTATATAAAGCAATCAATAACAGCTGAGTTCAAATAGGCAAGGCTTGGGTATCATAGGTTATGTTACATTAGCATAGGTATGAACCCAGTAGGAATAGTATAAGTGAGATAATGCTTGTGGGG